CACATCTGGCAATGAGCATCCTTAGTAATAAAATAGATATTTTTATGTCAATCAGGGCATCTTCTGTGTCTTTTCAATTGATATCAAATTCTGTAATTCAAGAAAAGGATGTTATTTAGTAACAATCTCAGATTCCAATGATGTGAAGAATATGAAACACAACCTCAGCACCAATGGGCAGATCCCAGAACCCTTTTGGATCCTATGTAATTAACCTGAGCCAAATGAGAAGGATGATATTACTTCATGCAGCATAATTTATGCTTTATTCAGAGACCATCCGTTAGCCAGTACCTGAGGAGGAGGATTTATTCTGCTAATATAACACACTGACGGCAGTAAGCTGAAGCTCATAATTAAATAATGCTCCCCTGGTGGACCTGTTGGTCTGTTCCACCATTCCAGGCAGGAAATACGAAATGCATTCTCTGGATTTAAACAAAAGGAGTTATGGTAAGAGCAGGTGGTAAGAAACAAAAGAGGTAGTAGGTACAGAAAAAAAAGACTGAAGTGAAATTCTATACTTTGGGCCAGTTGAGTTCTGTGTTAGTTATTTAGTGCTGTGTAACAAATACCTTCAAAACTTAGTGCCTTAAAAACAACCACCATTTCTGTTTGTTCACACTATAGGTCAGCAATTGGGATGAGCTTCTTTGGGCTGTGGGGATAAAATAAATTTCCACTATTGCGTGGACCCAAAAAGTTTCTTGGGTAATCCAGGCGAACTGGATGGTAAGGAAATAAAGCATGAACTCAAGAAAACAGGGCTTCCATCCTAAGAAAGCAGCAAAACAAATGATGATAGCTGGTTGAAAGGCAGAAAGAACCACTTGCCCATACTGGGACAGGAGGATAAGTCCCCCCAGCCCACCCCTTAGGGCACAAAACATACAGATTAAAAAATCATTTATTCTGTATCATAACTAAAAATGAGTTATCATACACTTACACAGGTAGACCTTTATTTTTGTCCTTTTGTCTAAATACATGAAAAAATAGAAGTATCCAAACAGAATTTTTTCTTTGCTGTTATTAGTCATCCAAATATTTCCATCCTTGTTGAGTTAGGGTTTTTGTCTAAATAGCTTTCAATAGGCTAAAATAAGTAATTTAAACTATTAAGTACTGATGGAGGATTTTTTATTAAAGTATCACTAATATACAATCTTGTGATGGTTTCAAATGTACATCACATGGTTCATCAGTCCTCGTGATCAACTTATACTGTTATTGTGAATTATTGTGCCCCTCTATCACCTTCCTCCTTCCCTCCAACCAGAACCCACCCTAACCCTTCTCTCTTGGTAATCACTAGTCAGTTCTCAGGGTCTATGAGACAACTGCTGCTTTGTTCCTTCTGTTTTGCTTTGTTTTTATACTCCACAAATAAGTGAAATTATATGGTATTTGTCTTGCTCCACCTGCTTCATTTCACTGAGTGTAATAACCTCTAGATCCACTATGTTGCTGCAAATGGCAGGATTTCTTTTCTTTTTATGGCTAAATAATATACCATTGTGTATATGTACTACATCTTCTTTATCTATTGATGGACACTTAGGTTGCTTTCATATCTTGGCTATTTCAAATAGTGTAGTGATAAACAGGGAGGAATGTATCTTTTTGAATCAGGGAATTTCCTTGGGTAAATTCCTAAGAGTGGAATTGCTGTGTCAAATGGTATTTCTATTTTTATTTTTTTGAGGAACCTCCATACTGCTTTCCACAGCAGTTGCGCCAATTTGCAGTCCCACCAACAGTTTAGGAGGGTTCCTATTTCTCTGCATCCTCACCAGCATTTGTTGTTCCTTGTTTTTTGTATAGTGCCCATTTTAACTGATGCGAAGTGATACCTCATTGTGGTTTTGACTTGCATTTCCCTGATGATTAGTGATGTGGAGCATCTTTTCATGTGCCTGTTGGCCATTTGTATTTATTTGTTGAAGAAGTGTCTATTCAGGTCCTCTGCCCATTTTTTAAACAGGTTATTTGTTTCTTGGATTGAGGCATATGAATCCCTTATACATTTTGGATGTTAACCCCACTTCAGATGAGTCAGTTAGGAATATATTCTCCCATATGGTAGGATGTTTTTTGTTCTGCTGATGGTGCCCTTTGCTGTACAGAAGTTTTTAGTTTGAGGTACTCCCAGTTGTTCATTTTTTATTTTGTTTCTTTTGCCTGAGGGATGTGTCAGGAAAAAAGTGCTCATGCTTATATTCAAGAGATTTTTGTCTACATTTTCTTCCATGAGTTTTATGGTTTCATGATTTACATTCAGGTCTTTAATCCATTTTGAGTTCACTTTTGTGTATGGAGTTAGACAATAACCCAGTTTCATTCTCTTACGTGTAGCTGTCCAGTTTTCCCAACACCAGTTGTTGAAAAAGCTATCTTTTCCCCATTGCATATTCATGGCTAATTTATTATATATTAATTGACTGTATATGCATGGGTTTATAGTTTGGCTCTCTATTCTGTTCCACTCATCTATGGATCTATTTTTGTGCCAGTACCAAATTGTTTTGATTACTGGGGCTTTGTAGTAGAGCTTGAAGTCAGGGAGCAAAACACCTCCTGCTTTCTTCTTCCTCCTCAGGATTGCTTTGGTTATTTTCAGTCATTTCTGGTTCCATAAGAATTTTAGAACTATTTGTTCTAGTTCATTGAAGAATGCTGTTGGTATTTTGATACGTATTGCATTGAATCTATAAATTGCTTTGTGCAGGATGGTCATTTTGACAATATTTTAAAAAGTATTTTTAAGATAAAAATATATATATATAAGAAAAAAAGAAGGAAGCCAAAGTGTTATCAGACACTTTGGAGCAATTGGGGGAAAAATATATAGGTATGTGACTGCAGTGATGAAAACAATTAGAAAATAATGTTGGACCACTATTTTGTTCTACAATTTATCACAGTTCTATACTCATAATAATGTGAATATTGATTACTAGTTTGCGAAACAGGTAGCAGTGGACATAAGGTATGAGACCTAAACTTCATTTACTGAAAGAGTGGTGAATAGATGCATTAGAAAAAGCCACTAAAATCACATGATTCTTGTGAAGCAAAATACCAGAAGAAAACACTACAATTATTGCAAAGGATTGCTTCTGTGGAACCAGACAGGAGCATGGAGAGGGAGGGGCCAAAGGACAATATGGATTCTGCAAAAATTGTATCTTTAACCTACATAAAAGCAATGTGAAAACCTCTTTTAAAACCATGCCTGCCTCTGTGGTCTAGATTGGGACTAGGAAGTGAGCCTCTCCCTGGAAGAGAACAGGAGTTTGTTTCTAAATATGAAGTGTTCTTTGCACCCTGTCTGACTGCCCCTTGTCCAGCTCATCCTAATCCTGAATCCAAGAGCAGTTCTGGCATCCATGGCTTGAGGTGATGGCAGCTTTTATGATTTGGTGTTTCATTTTGGAAATACCCAGAGAAAGAAAACTGCATGCAAGTGTGGGAAGTTATCATCTGGTACAACTGCATGCATGTTACTTAGCCATCTCTATTTTAAGGCATGGCTTTATTGCCAAGAGCACTTACAGTAAACCAATCCTGGGCTAAATATTTACACGTTACCTCATTTTAAAAATCATAAGAAATCATATTACTGTCCTTTTCCAGAAAAGGAAATTGACACTGAGAAAGCTTAACAGGTTTGCTAGTAAATGACAGAGCCCAGAGTGGAACCCAACTCTTCCTTAACAATTTATTTGACTGGGCATGGGGTGGTCAACCAGGCTGGCTTCTTGGGCATGCAGCTACATAGAACCCCATCCTGAAAATGACCTCATCTTTGGCTGAAATACTCTATTAGGGTCCTGAATTTCCAAATATTACCTTTTAACAGTTTTGTTAGCAAAGTCCAATGGCACAATGAAGCTTGCCTGTGAGCACAGAATGGGCTCGATGTGCTCACTGTTCCCTGCCCCCCACTCACATAGAGCATTTGCAACGTCCCACTTGAGAACAGAATTCCAGTAGATCCACAGTGAGTGGAAGCTGCAGCAATGCTCAAAACCAAGTACAAGCTAAGTGTGTTATGTCTGCACCCAAATAAGCTGGGCACTGACAGCCCTGAGGACACACTTTCCATTCAAAAGACAGCTTTCTTTGAATGCAGCAAAATGACTAAGGAGCCCCATCACATCCTTTCTCATATGCATTAATTGCAGTCCACTTAGTGCTGGCCATCTACTTGGCCAGTGATGGCCTGCTTCCCCTACTTTATGAACATTGGGCTACATACATGACATACATGACATAGCAGGTCCTGTATATGGGGTTGAGGTGCTGATGTTAAGTGAGGGAAAAAATCTAATGTTTTCTAGGAAACAGATCCAGGCGGCCCCTATTTCACTGTAATCGAAACAACACACTTCTTTTGGGTTTGATTGTCTATTTTATTTTCCCCTTCCCACAACTAGTAAACAAATAAAATCAATGCAGAGACAAGAATCCAATTTTTAAAAAATCATCAGTGTAGAGGGCAGCAGCCCCAACCAGGTTTAATTTACATATTTACAGGGCGTGGCGGGGGCGTGGCTACAGAGGCAGGGTGAAAAGGTGGCCTTACAAAATATACAGAGGAGGTCTTTACATTTTGTAGTGGAGCCCAGCATCATTTCCAAAGATAGCACCATAAAACACGAATCCCACGACTATTTACTGTATAACTTACGAAAAATCCTGTACAGGTGCATGACAATAAAAACAGAGTATAAGTGGCTCCATTTGGGAATTGGTACCTACACTGGGGTAGTCAGGGTAGGCCTCAGTTTGTATCCTAACCTGTTAAGATGATAGATAAGCCAAGATGGCGATACTGACCCTCCCGCCCCACCTTCTCATAGTTGGTTAAAGGTCACTCAGTCTCCGAGGGGAACTGGGATTGTTCAGGGCGAAGAGCTGTGGATGGAGGAGGTGTGAAGTCAGCAGAGGGCTCTGGAGGGCGCGAGAAGGAGTCCGGGGCGGGAAGGAGCACACGGACCTGGAGACACGCTCGGACCCTCCTGCTGCTTGACCACAGTGACTCTGGGGCGGTCCAGCCACGCCCTGCTTCCCACCCTCTGAGAGAAGGTGGGAGCTTTGCAGGCCTGGACAGAGGGCAGGAAATCAAAGTTCCTCTACCCATGGGAAATGAGAGAAGGATTGGAAATCCATGCCTTCCTGGGAGAGGAAGACCCTGGGAGCAGGGGTGAGATGAATGTACAGGGCAAGCTGTTCCGCTGGGCTAAGGGGCATGAGAGTCAGGACTGAGGTCACCTCCGCTCCTCAGGGAGGGCAAATCCCCGCAAGGCGGCGGAGAGAGGCGTGCAGAGCCAGCAGGGAGCAGGCGCCGCGCACCTGGGGCCCTGCTCCCCACTCTGGGCGGCCCTACAAGGCTGTGCTGCTGGACATGGTCTGTGTGCCCGGGGCTTCCGCTTGGGACTTGGGGTCCGCGTCCAGGGCATCTCGGCTCATGGCCGCGTTGTCAAAGGCCTCAGGGGCCTTGACGGGGGTGCCCTGCGTCTCCGGCAGGTCCTCGCAGCACTTGCTGCAGCGACAGCACCTGCCGCAGCCACACAGCAGGCAGCATACGCGGCAGCAGCGTCTCTGGCAGCAGCCAACGAGCAGCGAGATGACGTCGTCCCAGGGCTGCAGGGAGCGCATCCACAGCGGCAGGAAGTGCCAGCTCCGCAGCTTGGCGGGCAGGGCGCCGGGGCAGCGGGACTGCAGGAGCCTGAGCAGCACCACCAGGAGGAGCACGAAGATGATGGGCGCCCCCACGCCCACCAGCACGGGCCAGCCGGCCAGCGAGAGGCCGAACACCGCCAGCGGGATCAGGAAGAAGAAGATGATGAGGTAGAAGATGGCAAACCAGCGGTACTTGGCTGAGATGTTGCCCAGTCCCTTGGCCAGCCGGATGGGCAGGCGGGTGAATGGGATTGGGTACCACAGCAAGATGCCTGAGATGTTGAAGAAAAAGTGGCACAGTGCAATCTGAAACACAGGAGGTTGGACAGGTGAATGGGCTGTGGGCTGGTGGGTAGGAGAGAAGGTGGGGGGCGTCCAGTGGGCATGGGCAGGAGAGCCACGGGTCTGCCTCGTCTTCATAGCTCAGCCCAGAGTGGGACCTGCATGACCTGCGGCCCCACTATGGGTCTGGCTGGCATGTGGCGGGTCCCAGACACAGTTCAGCTTTCAGGGCTTGAAGTCCTTGAGGCAAAATCTAGCCCTGGGCTTTGGGAATGTACCGCCTGCTACCTGTGCGTGGACGCTGCTGCTTCCAGCTGAGCAGTTAGTTACAGCTGTGGGGCAGAAGGGCTTGCAGGAGAGCTGGCTTTCCCGGCTCAGTGCCCCACGCCAGGAGCGGCGAGGTCAGGAAGGATGGTTACAGTTAATAAATTAGCAGCAGCAATATTTAGGGCTCACTGTGTGTGAAGCAACTAGTCTAAGAATCTCGTATCCTGTGAGGGGCAACCACTTGATGTAGGAGGAAATTGGGGCACCCTGAGGGTCAGCCATTTTCCCAAAGTCACACGAGTGGGAGATGGCAGGGGTGGGTTTCAAACCCTGGTAGCCAGGCGCCAGAAGCCACACACTTTGCCACATTTTTATGTGTGCCTCCTATGTGTCCAGCATCATGCTAAGGGTCTTGGGCCATCCTGCCCAACACATTAGCCACTGGCCCTGAGTGGCAGCTGAGCACTCACAATGTGGCTACTCCGCATTGAGATGTGGTATAAATGTAACATACATACTGGATTTCAAAGACTTTGTTCACAAAAGAAAGTAAAATTTTTGTTAAAATGTAATGGGTTATATCAAATACATTATTAACATTGATCTCCCTGTTTCTTTTAACTTTTTTAAAAGGTGGGTACTAAAACCTTCAAATTACCTGGGTGGTTCAAATTGATATCGTATACTCACATTAATTCTACTGGACCGCACGGCTTTACACGGAGCATTATCAGATCTGTAGACCAATCCTAACGAGATAGGGATCCCCTTTGTCAGTGGGGGAACTCATGTGTAAAGGTTAGGTCACCTGTCTAAGGTCAGTTAGTGTCTACATAATAGGACAAGGGTTCCAATGTCAAAGGTCTTCTTGTGCAAGGTCACCTAGTTAATGTAGGTAAGGCATTTCCCCCTGATTTTCTTAGTGCCAGGACCAGGACACATGGACCTCCCAACATCCAGCCAGAGTTCACCAAGAGGGGGTCAAGGAGTTTGGGAAGGATTACCTATGCTTCCTGAATACTTCTTCAATCTCCATCAAGTGGCCACCCTTTTTTTATACAACCTTTAGTGTTGAGTTTCATTAACTCTAAGGACTAGATGGTTTTGACTGTTCTCAACTCTGTTTTTCTGTGGCTTCTCCTCCACATCAGAATTTTGGATATAACAGACAAAAGCTTGGTTCTTGTTAGAAACCATCTGCTTGCAAAACCACAGAAGGGCTTGTATCCCACCCAGAGCCCCTGCCCCATGCAGCATTTCCTCACCTGGAGGGAGCTCCTTAGAGTATTGCCTGAACTGGCTAAGGCGGCCAGGATGGCAGTGGTGGTAGTGCCGATGTTAGCACCAAGCGTGAGCGGATACGCCCTCTCAATGCTTATCACACGAATACCTGGGGGAAAGATACAAAGCAAGCTATAGCATCAGCTCCAGGGATGACAGGAGATGGTAGTGGTGGCCAGAGGGAGAAGCCAGGGGGAAACTCACCAATCAGTGGGGTCATAGCAGATGTGAACACGGAGCTGCTCTGCACCATGAAAGTCATGCCTGCCCCCACGAGGACAACCAGGTAGCCAGTCAGCCAGGCAAAGGGAAAAGGGAAATCTGGAGACAGAAAGAAAAGATCTGTTACCCCCAATTCTGGGGTGGAAGGCCTAGCTGGCAACTTCATAGCATCTGGGAGCACAGGCTGGGTTGGAGGGTTGCATTGTGTCTACACCCCCACTGTGGTGTGGAATTGCAAACTGGATGTTTAGAATTCTTTCACCCTGCACATCCAGGTGGTGGAACCAAATATGTGGGTTTGTTATGAAGACCAAAACATGTATTCACTGGAGTCACCCTAGCTGCCTCAAGATGCTGATGTATTTATCCAGAACCACATTTTGTTTCCAAGAGTTGAAGGTAAGTGGGGAACAGGGTGAGCATCTGATACCCTTTTCCTAATGCATCCAGGAAGACCCAGGAAATTCCGGAGCATACAGACAATGTGCCAGGAAGGAAGACTGAGCTCACCGCTCTCTGCATTTGAGCTGGCTCTTTCTGAGGACCTTGCATGTATGCAGTGGAAATTTGTGCCTGCTCTGCAGGTCCCACCCAAGACACTAAAGATGATTAAGGATGAGTGGCACCTTAATTTCTGCAGTTTATCAGATCTAAGAGAGAAATACTGAGCAGAGGCCATTGCTTGATGAGAAGCTAAAGCCCCACTGTGGTGGCCACATTGGTGTCACCTCCTAGGAAGCCAAGGATGGGGGACAGTGAACCCACCTGTGTTGAGTGTCTTCTTGATGACGACGGTTACCTGCCCCTTAAGCACAGAGCCTAGGATCTTGACAATCATGATCAGGCAGCCGCAGAGGACCAGCAGGGAGACCAGCAGCAGGATGATGCCAACAACCAGATCCGGGAGACTGGAATTCACAAAGACGTGCTGGCCTGAGGAGACCATACAAAGCCTATGTGAGGAAGGCTTGGCCAAGGCCACACATGGTTGTTTATTCCCCAATGTCCTTCTGCCTTATAGTAACTTGTGGTTGTTAGCTTGATCCCCCAGCTGCCCCACGGTGAAGTGTAGCCCCGAAGCTGTGTTCTGGCCAGGGGCATCTGATGAGGCTGGAAGATGAGGTGACATCCGTAAATTCATACAGCTCGTCAGGGGCAGACCCAGGCCTCCAGACCCACTCTTCCATCTCCAAATCCCTTGCTGGGTCTTCCTCTTGATAATGAGGGCTTAAAGCATCCGAGGAGTGAACTGGTACAGGATGGGGAAGCAGGATCTATCGCTGATCATAAAACTCTGTTTCTTGCAAGTCCCAATGTGTCCCCATGACGAGTCTAGCAAATTATGGTGATATTAGAGGGTGTATTAGGGCTGAAACATGGAAGGTGTTAAATTCACTTGCTTCTGTGAGGTAAACCATACCTGGAGAATAAGGTATACTGCTCACTTAACATGGGAGAGAGAAGGAGGAGAGGCAGAGATATACAGATGGAGGTGTAAAGAATAATAAGAACTAGGATGTACGGCCTGAACAGATGTCTGGGGCAAAAGTATAGCTTCTTACTGAATCAGAGCATCCTGAGACTCACTGTCTGGTTCAGGGTTACAGCCCCAGCGCCTTGAATGGGGCCTGTTGCACAGTAGGGGCTCATGACTGCAGGGTGAATCTATGTGTTCCATGTGAGCCCCACATCCCCTTCCAATCTGGCTGTCATTTCCCCGGAGTTACTTCCACTCACATTTGGCGATAAGCTCCTGGTGGCTCACATTCCTGATGGTCCAAGTGTGGGAGCCATTCGTCCAACAGAAGGAAGGCGAGGTGCAGTTTTCAGGTGAGGGGACAGTGACATTCATCTGAGTCTGGACGGCAAACATGAGAAATGGCAGGTATAGTCCACAGGACTCACTTTCAGGGGGATGTGGTGGGCATGGAGGTGGGGGGCAGCTGGGAGGCACACGTCGATGTGTGCATCTGTAAGTGGGATGTGCTATTTCTATGGGCCCCTCCATAGATGGGAACAGAGGCAGCCAGACCTAATCCAGGAGACATGAAAATAACAAGCCAGCAGGGGAAAACGGGGTCCTTCTATCCTATTGCATTCTGTCTGTCCATCCAGCATTTAGGACTTGTTTTCTTAAGTATTCTCACTGGCCAGTTTTGATTTTGTAGGAGTCTCAAATGTTCTCTCACCTTGCCTTTTTTTAAATTCACATTCTTTGAATGAAACGTTTTGCTTAAAGTACAGACACAAGAGTTTACTCACCCAGCAATATTCTTCAAAACTTACCACGTTGGTAAACGTTTTGCACCAAATCTTGATCAGACCCATGTCTTTTGCTACTTCATCATTCATTGCAATTTGGTTGATAACTTTTTTATCCAGCTGAGGAGGGCAGCAGACAGAAGACAGAGCATCCTCAGAACAGATGTGAGAGGACACATACGGGTTACTTTTAAGAGGGTCTCTGAGGGCATGAACTAGACTGTGAGCCCCTACAGGGGCGAGTTAGGACCCTCTCTACCTGCACTTCCGGGGTGGAGTGCAGCACCTAGGTGTTAGCAGGTTTTCATAGATAAATGATGTAGGAGCCATGGACTGGTATTTAGTAGAACCTGCAGGAGATCCCCACTGCATGACTGAGTGACAGAAAACCAGGAGGTAAGAGTGAAAGTCAAGGTCCAAGTGAGCCGGTTCTCCTCAAGGCAACATGCACAAAGCCTTCCTTCACTGGTTTCAGTAGAATGAACAGACCCTAGTGAGCAGAGGGCAGAGTGAGGAGAGGGCAGCAGCCTTCCTCCTTGGCTCCAAGTGGGAGAACCCTATCGATGTGCCTGCTGGGGATGAGGTCAGTAGTGTGCACAAGTGGTGCCAAGTATCCAGTGGAAAGCCCCTGAGAAGCACCTGCCACTCCACCCCCCAGCCCAATGCAGATGACACAAGGACTCAAGTCAAGGACAAAGGAAGCCCATTCCTCTATCAGGTGTCCCAAAAGTTATGCCTCCCTTGGCCTTTTTCAGAGGCAGCCATAAAGCACTGTTTCCAGCCTTTACCGTCTCTTCCCAGCTGAGTGGGTGGGGGTGCTGGCATGGAGCTAGCTCCTTTCCATCTTTGAAGAAGCAGGGTTACCTGGATAATGAGCTCTGTGAAGGGATCTGTGATCACTTTCAGAAGTGCCAGGTCAACTTCTCCATTTTTGAAATGTATGTGTTCACCACCAGATCAGTCAGGTTCTCCAGGTAATGGGTGGCAACCTCCAGGGGCAAGAGCACAAGCATGGAGAGCTAGTTGAAGAAGTCGTGGACAGTGACCCCTGCAAAAGCCCTACAGGAGCAGAACCCCACCTCAAGCCAGCAGCCAGATTAGTCAATGAGGGAGTGGGCACCATTGTAGATAGGCCATTACTCATACTGCCTGCCAGGTGTTACCCATGCCCACAGGGGTGCGTTCTCTTTTCATTCTCACAGCAGTCCCAAAGGGAGTGACCTTAATATCCCCATTCAACAGATGTCAAAACTGAGGGCCAGCATGCACAAGGGAGTTGCAGACTACTGCGTGGGTGCCAGGTCCAGGGCTGGTGTCTCCCACTACCTGACCCCACCACCTGGAGCACCTAGCTCTCTCTGTTTGGGGGAAAGGGAACTGGCCATGTCAAAGCTGCAATAATTAGGTCAGAGGCCATGGTAGGGAAGAACTGCATCAAGACAACTTTTGAGTCTTGCATGTTGAAGATAAACCTTTCATTGGGAAGTGGGGACCAGTATGAAGGCAAAGATCAAAGCAATCTACACAAATGAAATCTCAATTTTTTTTAAAAATCTTGAAACTGATGAAAGATTTGCACAGTCATCACAGGGGACAAGGCTAATCTACACCACAATGTGCAGCTATCTGAGAATTCACATCCCTGAGTTGTATTCCTCTATCTCCACACTAAGAAACTCTACTGACTTCTTTTGTGTCAATGAAAATCCTTTCCTTTAAAAAGTACTTGCAAAAATGTGCAAAACCAGATGGACATTGCACATAAACAGACAGAAGCTAATAAACATGTGGGAAAAATTGGTCAACATCACTGGTCATAACAGAAACTTATTTACAGTTTATGTGCAAGTACAAATTTTCATCTGTGTATCAGCTAGTATTTAAAAAGTAACTTTTTCTTCCTGGAGAGGGTGATTTAAGACATTTTCATACAGAGCTAATGTAAAGGGATACAAATATTTCTTAGGAGTTTGGAAAAATGGTTTAAGAGGCTTACAGGTGTTTGATATACTAATTATTGTTCTAGAAATCTAAGGAGATAATCCACACCACCAGGAAAGAATGATACACACATCCAAAGTTATTATGGGGGCAATTTACTTAAATATCCCAAATGGGGTGAGCTAAGTCAATTATAACCCTATGTGGAGCAACCTTCATGAGTCATGTTCATATCTCATAGGTTGTCCAGAAGCAAAAATAAGTGTTAACAGTGAAAATCCAAAATCTGGAATAATAAAACATGGAAGGAGTCCCGGGTATGCCCATCAGTGCAGTTACTTAACCTCTTTGTATGTCCATATTAATAAAATGGGACATGGAAAAATCTACTCAGCTTCTGGAGAAAATCAAATAAGCAAACTCCCTGGATGATGTGTATTATTATTGTGACCCTCAGGATGCTTTCATCAGGGACCAAAGAAGGCTCTGTGTGGCTGAGCAGAAATGAATGGATCTGGGGACATCCTCTGCTGGCCAGTCCACCAGTGGGTGAGGGATGACATTTGCTGGCTACCCAAGCAGCCTGATTGATGCCTCTGTCTGAACACCTGGTGGGGACATCACATACATGATGCTGGGAATTGCTTCTGTATCTTCATAAACCATGGAAATCCCCATCACCAATTAGAAGACAGGTTGGGAAATGTGCTTAATTTTCACATTATCCTTTTGAAAGGAAAGGGATCCCTTTGCTTATGCTTACATTTGACCCACCCCGTTTTCAGATCTTACTCATCCACAAAGCTCCATTTTGCCTTTTGTTGGCTTGCAAGTAAAAAACAAAGAAAAGGTAGTATGGGTTGGGCTGACCAAGAATGGAAACTTCAGGAGGTTATAATTATTTGTGACTAAGCGGGACAGTAAATCCTAGCCTACCTGTCCTTGTTTCATCTACATCACTCGGTAGGAAAACTTCTGCCCAGGTCTTACATTGAGGAAGCCCTGACAGGGTGCCACGCTCTTTGCTAAGCATTCTCCTGTGTGAGTATGTTTACTCCTTTTAGACAGCACAGTGGTGACATATACTATTATTGCAGCTGTGCAGATCAGGAAGCAGAGTTTCACCACTGGTAAGTACGTGACCCCAGGACCCAGCAGGCGTC